CCCCCCACCTCAATGCTTTGCATTTTTTTACCGAATAGGCAAAATATTTCCCTCGTCAATAACCTCTATTAGTCAGTACAACCACAATCTCGAATCCATGAGTATTAACTTTGAAGGTATGCATTGAATTGTTGAAGCCAAAAAGTACCCATAGTACTCTTAACCGCCGTCTGTGCAAACAGATGCGGACGAAGTTATTAAAGAGCTCAATAAAAGGGTAACTGGGAAAACGAATTTTAGCTATTTTCTAGTATTTAAGTAACAGAAGGCATTTTCTCTAAAATGGTCTTACTATCGAGACCAAATAATGGAATGCTGCTTTGAAACAAACTCCTTGCAATTAACAAAGCCAGGGAATTTAGTAAAATCATTTTCAAAATACTTCCACATACATTACATTATAAGATTCATGCCTACGAATTTTTATTTTCAAAGATACGTTTTAGTGGGCATTCTTACAATTAGATTACTTCCCACCTGCTAAATTTTCCTTTTAAGCTAAACAATTAGAGCTGAACATCGATTTACAAATAGATGTTGGATTTAGTTTGCTTGAGTATTTAGGTCTCAATACTCTTCGCCGCGTGATTTTTGTTGAAGATTCTTTAATAATTCTGACAGATTTTAAATGCGAATAAAGTTAATTTTACTGCCTCAAGTGCTACATTTGTTGTGGTGACGGAGAATGTGCTCCTTCATCTGTCTCGTGGAAAACAATTCGTTTGATTATGACATCAATACAAAATCCAGTAAATTTGAATCATTTGATTCGGTAAACCTGTTTGGAGAGACATGAAACTAGGAAATATATAAAATCGGTAAATCTCAACGTGAGTTAGAAAACAAGATTAATTTTTTATTTACTCTGAGCAAATTCCATAGACTTTATTCATCGTGCCCACGTAAGAAGCTCTTACTTTAGCGTAATCGTGAAACAGTCAACCCTGCCGTCTAAATGTAAACTGAAAACCTATTTGAATTATACACTTGTACTAAATTAAGAAAACTAATAGAAAAATGCTGAATCTCAGAGAAAATAGAAGATTTACACTTAATATTAATATCCTCCCTCCTTCTCCCAGGTTAAAATACAAAATAACTTTGAAATCCTGCGTGCACACACATTAAAACCCTCTTTTCATTCTCCCAACGCCAATAGGCGCGATTTAAAGCCCAAAATACCAGTAATAATCTACAGAGAAATCGGTTTAAGTGTGTAATGCCATTTATTCCAATTTTTTGTTTAGGACGCTGAGCAGTAGATCTTAATGCAATTCATGTCCCCCCCCCTTCACGTGCACTAATTTATTGATTATTGATAACTGTTTGTCTTGCGTAAGAATGTAATTTCAGCGCTACTGTTAGTGACCAACCAAACAGCTAATCATTTCAAACTTTTTAAAGATACAAATAAGCACAATAATCAATAAACTTCTCGCCTTGTACACACTGGGTCGAAAACACCGTCGTGCATGTATTGCAAAAGTAAATCATTACGAGATATTATGGTAACAGTCAACTCTATCTTATTGGTGACATAGTGTTATAATATCTTTCAACTTCAACTGCTGCGTTTTAATCGTGGATTTATAATACATTGGATTGAGGAAAAATAGTAGTCGAAATAGGACAACATATATAGGAATATTTAGTCGTTTAACACAACAGCATGCTGATATTTTTTTGAATTAGTCAAAGATTTTCCATTGACGCGAAAAAAGAACCCCATATATGAAAATTGATGAAAAGATTAGAACTGATTTACTACCCATTAGGTTTTTTCTACACTATTTTAATGGAATTAATGTCACATAAATACACTTAGAAACATATTTTCATCTAAACTTACCTTTTGATGATAATTCTAAAGAGGATGGCCGTACTGAAAACCTTCAAGTTCCCCAATACCTGATAAGTGGCTGGGTCCATTTCCATTTGAATTACTATTCCCAAATTATTTGTTATAGTATAAAATATCGCAGGAATCGCAAATGGTGCCAAGAGCCAAAGAAGTTGCACTTTCGAAGAAGTGTTACTTCCTTCTTCTTCCGTCGAAAATTCACGTTTCAGTCGATTACACAAGAAAGAATTGAAGTTCTTTGGAGTTACCACCCTCCACTGTTCCTGAATCACTTCGGCAGTAAACATAACAAGTGAAAGAAGAAGCTAAAACAAATGTACGGATAGCATTACACAAGTTACGAGTTATCCATTATTCTTATTATGGATAGATAAAGTTTGAAATGATTAAATGTGTCTAATTAATGACGCATCAAACTCGAAATCCTTCGTTCATTTAATCTATCTCAGATAACAATTGCTTCCTTATTAATATAGCCTTAATAGGTTAAGATATCTTAAACCCTAAATTAACTACTTCTTACCTTAAAAATTTCAATAACCAGAACACAAGCTGCATTACTGAAAGGAATTTTACCGTCAATTTCACATAAATGAATGATGATGGTATACGATGAATAAAGAAGAACTCTAAAAATGACTCAAAGAAATGAGATTCATGTAACATGCCCCCCAAGAAGCATTATTCGAAAGATGAACTTGGAGACTGGAAGCTTTGGTTGTGGTAATTGATCAGGCTTTTCAGATATTATTGGCGACTGCAACCCATCTAATGGCTTATATGTAGTCATTGGACTTTCCACTAAAAAATAAGAGACGTAACAAAATATGACCGGTTTCAATGACCACTTATGATAAATTAAAAAATTGTTTAGAATAAGTAAATTGTGGATAAATAAGTGATAGCCTGATAATAAACTAATAGAGACGAAAATGCGCATAAATGCATAGATAGAAGTTCACTAAAGTGATTTAAGAAGTCAATAATACATTAAAAAATACAGCCGCCTAAAAAATATGTGTTTAATTTTGAAGATACACCATAATTAAGGAATTTTAAAAATTAAAAACCAAAATAGGGAGAGATATGATAAACACATAGTATACTGGAAGTGAACGAAAAGCCCTCTTTGCGAGCAAGATTTATCCATTTCCATTTGGTATAATTCAAGGTCGATTCACAAATAGGTATTAGTTAATCAGTTCAAAATAATTCGCTATTGCTGGTAATGATTTCTCATATTTTTGAAAAATTATGTTACAGGCATAATACAGAAGTATTCAATAATAATTAATTACTCTAATGTTAGCCTTTTATGGTATTCTGGGTTTTCAATGATCAATGTCAAATACTAAAAATTTACAATAAATAAATTAATTTTAATTGGACTTTCTTAACTTTCATTTTATATTGTCATTATCACTTGCCATTATGAGGTAAATTCTGAAACAGTGGCACTGCGGAATAATTTGTTATAGCCGAAATAACTATCCATGATTATTATTGAGAAGCCAAAAATACCATATCCTTACTAAGTGGATCAGTCGTTGTTCGTTTCTTTCTCCGACGACTTAGGGATGCTATCCGTCTTATGCATATCGACGTCTTCTGTAAATGGGACTATTTTTTATTGACTGTGTGTAGAAAATAACGAAGCACATTTGAACACATATAAATATGTGTGAATCGCTTAATCAAAATCAATCCATTTAATCTTATTAAAGCCATTACAACGAAAAAGACCGCGTAATGGCATAAATATTGTTTGAACGAAGTAAATTTTCCTACAATGGAAAGCAGAAATTGTTGTTCCTGAAAGTTAATAGAAAACAAATTTCACTAACCTCGATTGTCTCCCTCCACTGCTTTAAAAGCACTAAATTAACCATGTCTTAATTCACTCCCTCTAAATGTTTTATCGTCACCATATTTAAAAATAGCCAAGTATATGCGCACCACCTCCGCCAGATCAGTTCAAATTATATTCAGTCTCAATTTCTCACAATTGCGTTGAACCTTCAAGTTAAATTTTTAAAAATTCTAATCCAATGGAAGACAATGTGGTGATTTAAATGAAGTATATCAGCTGGTAGCCTATTTTCTTGCTATCCCGCTATAAATATGTGTATCTAAAAATTATCTTAATAAATTTACGATTTAGCAGAAGTATTATAACTTGTAAGATACATATGAGTATACTATTTTAATTCTAATTGCAAGAATAGAGCGATCGCTAATTATGGAAAGCAAAAAATTTCCAGTAAAGCATTTCATTCTTCTATCAACAATTTCAGATATAATTAAACGAAAAAAATTATCAATAAAGTAAGTTAATCAATTTTACATTGTGAACATAATATTTCCACAAGATTCGTCTTCTATTTATTATTCAAATATTTCGGATTTTCAAGGCCATGTTGAACCTTATTGCGTGTCTGGGGATTTGCGTGGCTTCGTACTATTATATTCTCCGGGCGTCATGAATCGCGAAAGAGTGAATTAAACATGTCGGCTTCGAAAACATCGATCACAATTAATAGATATGACGTTAATTTTTTTGGGGGGGATTCTTTAAATAATACTCCTTTGGGAGACAAACATGTCAATATAAGAAAAAAATTAGCGGCATTGGGTATGAGATTGAAACTTGATTTTAAATCAAGTGCCCTCACTTGGCAAGAAAGTATCTCGAAATGATATCCGCGTAAAATCATATTAATTATTAACAAAATAACTTTGGGTTATATTATTTTTGAATAAGGCGAGGATTGCTGAAGATTGTTGTGTCTTCAATCAGAAGTCAACTCTAGCAGCCGCCTGAGTAATGAAATGAAGCTCATGATACTCGGGCTTGTCCATGGAAAACGTTTTGAAAAAATCGCGATTGTATATTGAGATAAATACTGAAGTTGTGGCTTTTCCCATTATTATTTTTTCCAAAATGATGATTTGTTATACTTTTCTAGTTGAATACAGTTATTTGTTTTAATCTACCGAAGTATTAAGCGGGGTACTGATTTTACAATCTACATGCTTGTGCGCATTGACCAGGGTAGTGGTCGATTCTGTTAATATTTTATTTCAAATTTAATGTGGTGTATTTCAATATGAATCAGAATTCTGAGACAATCAAGTTAATTCTCCCGAAAAGAAGAACTCCAATAGGTAGCTTTTCAGTTTCTGACGATGGAGAATTTCTCTTCATTTTTAAAGATACTATCGGTACTTATGTAAGTTAAGCTATTTGCTTCATTCATTGGTTCGCTTTATTTTTTTATTTCGAAACAATTTGTTTCTTTAACTTCCTAGGACCCCTACCCGAAGTTGGTTAATGAATTGACTGCTGACCGGCCTAACCATTTTGACTGTAATATACGATATTTCGATGTTTCTGAAGTCGATTCTTTTGTATTTCCCGTCAAGTTTGTTGATCGTGATCAAACGCCGTCAGTTGACGTTCCCTACATTATATTTTCGTGCTGTGATCGTTCTTCTCAAAATGTTGAATCTGCAGAATACCGCAATCACATGTATCGTAACGCCGAATGGTCGCCAACAGGGGTCGATCAAATTTCAAGGTAATTTACGATACTTTTATATTGTTTCTGCTTTCAGGTCTATTTTTAGTTGTGTTACCAGCGATTATCAGTTATATTATACCTTTCGTGTTGGAGATTGTTGGTCAGGAAAGACGTGCCTATCCGAGTCTTGGTTCGCATTTTGGAGTTCTCAAGGCGTTAGCTTTTTGTCTGAAAGTTGGAGGAGCTTTTTTGAGCTCCCCGATAGCTACACTGAATCGAGTTTTCCTGATGAGCTTAAATTCGAAACTATGAATGAATACCTTTCATTTGTTGAGGACGTTTCTTTTCTGCAGTCGACTTGGTCGAAGAAGATTCGGACTACCGAAAGACCGAAATCGAGCACAAAAGGCAGTTCAAATGCTCTCCTTGCAGCTCTTCATAAGTCTGGTACAATTTCTTTTTGGGATGTCTCCGTTCCAATTGTTAGTAGGCAAGTTCATTTACCTATTGTTTTTTTTTCTGTTGTCACCTTTTCCTAACATTACACTGCTGTTTTTTTAGAAACGGTGTTAGACTTGCAGCATTTGATCGGACTTATTTCAATACGTTTTACTCATCGTCGCAATCCTCTAACCCGAATTTTGTCAAAATTGTAGATATTGATATTGAAAACTGTGAGTTATGGGTGTAATCTTAATTTATTCTTTTCGATTAATAATTTTTAGTCCGAATTTAATTGTTAGTATTGTTTTGTTTATTTGCTATTTTATTTAAATCAAAATCTCTACACTATTAAGGATATAACTGACTGTTTTTGCACTTGAGTGGTTTATGCCTGCAATTATTTTATTTCTATTGAAAACTTATCCAATGTATATGTAAGACGACTAAAGTTTTTTTAAAAATGTTCATTTGGCCGTGGTCCTAAAACATTTTCTAGAAGCCTTACTGGAGGCATTGATTTGTTTTTTTTTAATTGCTTGACCTTTTCTCCTAATACGTATAGGTAGGTGTTACACTGCGGTGCGTCAATTAGTTCTTAGAAAATATGTAATTTATTACTATTTATTCATCTCTCTGGATAAGTGTTCCCGCGACGCATTTTTAACCCACCGTGCACACCGAGAGCTTGCTCAAGCCAAGATATTTTTGTGAAAATTGAAAACGCTGATATGTGTACAATTCCAACTTCGTTGGCAAGTTCCTCAATAATGACTCGTCGATCTATGATCAGAACAGTTTCCAATTTAGTTTAGTTAAAAAATGTTAGCTCTGATCTCAAAATTTGCCATTTGAAGGGTTGAAAATTTTAACTATTTTGAGATGCTAATGGTCTTTTTCCTGATCTTGCATTGAATGGCCGTCAATTGTACGTTAGACTTCGAAGGTGTATGGTCTTTTCATCACTCTATTAAAATAATTTTGCTCTCATAAATAGCCTACAAATTAGTTTGACTGAAATATGAGATATCAAGTGTGTAAGGCTTTCCATCCAAAATTGGAGAAGGGATTACGATAACTTTACATCTTTAAAGAAATTTAAATCCTCTTCTCTGCCACATATCTCCAGCTTGGTTACTCAATAAAATGTGTAGTCTCAGTATTCTTTTCATTATCTTTCCCATAGTTTTCATGGTTATTGGCTTTCCCAGTGGGAAGATCGTATGCGCCTTCTATCAGGCCTACGCCAAGCAGATGGGCCTTCTCTCTGTTTTGCGAGTATGTTTCCCTATTTCATATATCTATTTTATCAATTTAAAATCCTTAGGCTGTAAGTTTTGAATGCACTAAATGTGGGAAACTCATATTCAAATTTTTCACCTCATGTCCCTTTTAACAATGGAGTTTTTTTACTGTTATAAACACCGCTTAAAGCTTCTCATCGGTTACTTCACTCCCCTCTATCCTAGCTCATTGATTTATTTCAATTATTTGCTTTTCTCGCCATTGTTGAATTCTCGTATCTTAATTGTAGAGGGGTCAGTGGGAGCTTTGCGAGTGTTCATCTGATCAAAAACCTATTGGTGCTGTATGTTTCAAAAACGGAATTCTCGCCATTGCCAAAGGAACGCGAGTTTATCTTACTGAAGTTTTTAACCATGCGAGTGTCAAATTTATTTGCAGCATTTCAAGTGACGATATAATAAAGCCCATTACAGGTATTATTCAGCTATCTAGATAGCGGGAAGTTTAATGATTTATTACTTCGTTTGTTAACCTTTTCTCTCTCCCCTTTAGGCATTTGTTTCTATGCCCCCTATCTCTATATTGCCTCTAACGATGCCATCATTGCTAAATCGACAATTCCAACTTTGACCAAAAGTAAGTCCCATTTGATAGTTTGTAGTTAATTTACTTATTTTCAATAAAATTTATCTTTTGTCCATTTCAGAGAAGTATGAAGTGACGATTATCAATCAATCACCATCTACGGGAGGTAATTACTATCACCGATACTACAGTGGTCTGCATATTTCTCCTAACGGTGTTCACGCCACTTTTCTTGAAGGGTTCGTTCAATTCTACTTTAAGCCAACTTCAAAGATATCTATATATGTATATATTGACGCTTCTTCTGTTCAGTTCGGTGGCGCCAACTTACTGTGACATTCCTACAAACGTAAGCTTGCTGGCTATATTTTTTCATTCTTGATAACTATCAATGTGAAAGGTTGCTTATGTGTGTCCTGCGGAAACAGTTCCGGGGATTCATACAGTTGAGCTGGGATTGGAGGTGTGTCCAATCGCAGTAATCTAGATCGTTAACAACTAAATTTGCTAATTTATTTTAACGTTTTAACCAGAATGTAATCCTTTTAGATAGCAAACGTAGGGAATATATAAGGACCAATGCTAACCGATGTATTTATTTAGATCAAATGGCAAGCGTTTTGATGGTTATCATTAGCCCTTTAGTTGACTTCAGGCTTCACAGAGGAGAAGAAACATCGAAGTGCAAAAAAGTCGAGAGGGGAGGGGGGCAGAAGAGTGTTTCAAAAACGGGGGTAGAAAAGGTAGAAAAAAGGTGAGGTGAGTACTGTGAAGTGGGGGAAAATGACATACAGTGGGATCATGGCTGTTTGAAGTCAGAGGTCAACTGCCAGGTAATATACTTTTTTTGCCGTATGAGTATACGTTGCCCAGGGTGCACCACGTGGAGGTAAGTCTATCGCACACCCCATGCTAACCAATTTTGCCTAGTAGAATTGATAATCTTTCATTTACATCGTATCGTGCGATTCCTTTAAAATCGGATCCACACTTGTATTTTCGTTCTGACTATTTTAACTGACGTCTGGTCTTGTCGTCATTATTATCTCTCAAATGATAGCAAAATGGTGTTATTCTAAATTACATTGAGACTACTAAAATTACAGGGAATATGAAAATCATTCAGATTACTAAAGAAGTAAGATGGTTTGATAGTGATCGATGATGAGGCATAACAATAGAACGCTGCAATTTAATTCGGATCTTTGATACCACTTTAAATTGTCTGTGTTGCATT